ATAGAGCAGGGTTTAGGGCTGTTGTACATAGGGTCACTATGAGTCGCAAACGATTCGAAGGCACATAACAACAAAACAACAACAAACCTAATTTTAAAAGCCCACTGCACTGCTACTATGTAGCTTCTAACTCATAGTGATAAATCTTTATAGAAGGAAACTGCCCTTCTTTCTCCTGCAGAGCAGCTGGTGGACTCGAACCACTGACCTCTGGATGAGCAGCCTAGCATGTAACACACTCACCACTAAGGCAGCCCTTCCTGCAGAGGTTCTCAGAATCTTGCAAAAGGCAGATCGTGGCCACGACTAGGTGGACGTCCTTTGGTGCCACTGAGGATGGGCTTCTCTTGTTTACGAACGACCTGTCTGTCCACTTTTGTCCTGGCCATGTCTTAATAAGAGCCTCCAAATAATTTTTCTTAAAAAGGATGGGAGTGAGGGAGCTCTGGTGGCTTAGTGGCAAGAAGCTGCACTGCAATCCCAGAGGTACTCGGTTCAAATCCACGAGATGCTATGCTGGAGGAGGGGCAATCTCCTCCTGTATTAGTCAGATCCGATTTGACGGTACACACACACAAAATAATAATATAATACAAGAGGATGGGAGTGGTTGTGACTTCTAATACAAATAGCTATTGTGTCAAAGAAGATATACAAGCAGCTATTACAAAACTCTGCTGCTTTCAAGCCAAATCTGAAGAAATGGATGAAAGATACTCGAAGCCATGGGAATACACAGTGATAAGAAGCTGGGTTCCCTTTACACATGCGGCGAGGGTTCGAGATCACCCAGAGGTGGCTGGGAACACAGGGCTGGTGGGTCTCCTGAAAGATCACAGCCACTGCAAAACGCATGGGCCACAGTTGCAGCTCAATACACATAGGACTGTGTGTCAGCAGGCGTCAGAAGTGACCCAGCGGCAACTGGGTTGAGCTGCGGTTTGTTTTTGAGGCTGGCCACCATGTGCAGACTTGCCTGCTGACAAAAAACCGTCAAGGACCTCAGTCCTCAGTACAGGCTGCAATGCAACCTAAAACAAAAATGCTAACTGGACCCGTGAGGGACATCAAGAGAGATGGAGAAAAGACGGAAGCTGTCAATGATTCCACTTTACCTGGCTGCACTGTTACCACCGTCCACAGGAGCAGCAGGTAGGAAATCAAAAGACATGGGCACATTTGCTGCTGTGGGCCTCTAGAAAGTGCTCAAGAGCAAGGATGTTAGTTTAAAGAGTAAGGTGTGTCTGACCGCAGCGGTGGTATTTTCTTTTTTTTTTTTAACAGTGGTATTTTCAATTGCTTCATATGCATGGGAAACGTGGGCAATGAATAAGACTGAAGAATTGTTGGGGAGCTCTGGCGGCCTAGTGGCAAGGAGTTGCAACTACAATCCCAGAGGTGCACGGTTCAAATCCACCAGATGCTCTGCCGGGGAAGGAGGGGCAATCTCCTCCTGTACCAGTCAGATCTGATTTGACGGTACACTCACACAAAAATAATAAAATAAAAGAAATTTTTTAAAAAAGACTGAAGAATTGTTATCTTTGAACTGTGGAGGACGTGGGGGAGGCTGGCGCTCTCACACACCAAGGGTGGGAATGTAAAATGACACCTGCCTGAAGCCCGGTGAGGCAGGCCCTGAAAAGGTCAAACACACCCAAACTCTTTGCCCTTGAATCACTCCTGACGCCCAGCAACCCTACTGGACAGAATGGAGATGCCGTAGAGATTTTCCAAGACGCTCAATCTTTGCAACAGCAGACAGCCACGACGTTCTCCTGCACGGTGGCTGGGAGGCTTGAACTATCAACATTTTAGACAACAGCTAAGTCCTTAAACAGTCCTCCATTAGGGCTTGTTGGTGTTGGTGTTGCATGCCATCAAGTCGCCTGTGACTCACTGCAACCCTGTAACAGCTCTGAACCCGACCCCATCCCGAGACAGCCTCACTGACTCCCTTGTGTCGAATTAACTATGGCTATGAACGAGGGCTAGAAACGTCTCTGACCCTTTTCCTACGCTATCTCTGACACACTTGCATCCACTGCCATGGTCGCTGCCTCAATCCATCTCCTCAGGGGCCTTCCTCTCTTGCGCTGACCATCTCCCTTCCTCAGCATGATTTCGGTCTCCGAGAATGAGCCCCTCCCAATAACACACTTAAAGGCTGGGAGATGGAGTTTCACCTTCTTTGCCTCCAAAGAGCACCTTGGTTTCAATTTCTCGAGGACAGATCTGTTTGTGCCCTTGGCAGTCCTTGGGATATTCAATACTCTTCTCCTGCGCTACAGCTCAGCAGCCTCGATTCTTCTGACATCCTTAGTCACTGTCCAACTTTCAGATGCAGAGCAAGCGACTGAAAAGACCATGGCCTGCTCAAATGCATCTTCGTCGCTACACTGACCTTTAGCACTCTAAAGCTGCCTTTTGCCCTCTGAACACATCCCTGACAGCACATTTTCCCCCCAATGCAACTCTTTTTTTAAAAAAAAAAAAATTTCCTGACTGCTGGTACCAAGGTTGTTGATGGTGGATCCGAATAAGACGAAACTGATACTAACAAGTTCAATCTTTTCTTCATCTATCACAATACGCCTACTGGCCTGGTGGTGAGGCCTCTCTGTTTTCTTGATGTTGAGATGCAATCCATCTCCCAGCACACCTGGAACCAGTCCCTAGAGCAGCCTGTCATGCTTGGTCATGTGAAAATTCCCCTCAGTAAGATAGAAAGAGAATTGATGCCTTTGAGCTGTGATGCTGGACAAGAGTGTGGACTGTTAGGAGAACAAACAGGTTCATCCTGGAGAGGGTGAAGCTGGGATACTCCTTGGAGTCAGCATCCTGAAGCTTCATCTGACATATTTGGGGCATGTTGCAAGGAGGAACCAGTCCTTGGAGAGGGATGTCATGCTTGAGAAGGTGGAGGGACAGCACAGGAGAGGAAGACCCTCTATGAGATGGATTAATTCTGTGATTGGGGAGGTGGGAGTGAGTGTGTTAGAGATGGTGAGGTTGGTACAGGATAGAGCAGGGTTTAGGGCTGTTGTACATAGCTATGAGTTGCTAACAACTTGACTGCACATAACAACAACAACAACAAGATGGATTATTCAGGGGCTACAGCAAATGGATTCAGACAGCAATGACCACGGGGACAGTGCAGGATCAGGCAGGGTTTTACTCCATTGTCCCTGAGGTCACTAGGAATCAGAACCAGTGATAGACACTGATAACAGCAGCACCACACGACCCAGCGATGCCACTCCTGCACAGCCACCCGGAGAAATGAAAGCGTCCTCTCACTTGAAAATCCATTCTCAAATTTGCCTGGTAGTACTTCCCACAACACTCAAAAAGTGGAGACCATTCAACCACACATCAACAGGTGAATGTGTAAACAAAAGCAGCTCCGCAGCTACAGGGGAAAACTACTGAGCAGTGAAAAAGGCATGAAAGGCTACGACACACCTTGACAGCATCATGTTAAGTGTTAGAAGCCAGGCCAAAGGCACATCCATGTTTATCATGGCTTTGTTTGCAATAGCAAAGAGCTGGAAACAACCCAAGTGCCCAGCAACAAAAGAATGGATGGAGAAGCTCTGGTATATTCACACAGTGGAATACTATGCAGCACTGAAAAACAAGGAACTCATGAAATATTATACAAAATAGGTGACCCTGGAGGACATTGTTATTGTTGTTGTTATGTGCCATCGAGTCGTTTCCGACTCATAGCGACCCTATGCACAACAGCTCTAAACCCTGCTCTATCCTGCGCCAACCGCACCGCCTCTGACACACCCATCCCGATTACCCCAGTCACCGAATCAATCCATCTCATAGAGGGTCTTCCCCTCCTGCGATGTCCCTCCACCCTCCCAAGCATGATGTCCCTCTCCAAGGACCCGTCCCTCCTGGCAACATGTCCAAAGTATGTCAGACGAAGCCCCAGAATCCTTGCCTCCAAGGACATTATGCTGAGTGAAATATCTCAGTCACAAAAGGACAAATATTGCACTGTTGAAAATGGGACTGACATCGGGGTTGAGGGAAGACAGAGAAGGAGGGGATGAATGATGCATACTGCATTGAAACAGATGAGTGAGAGAACTGTTTAAAAGGAATATAAGATTGGGTATTATTGTCATGACAGGAGTTCAGAGTGAAGGCTGCATAGTGGAGTGGACGTATGGGGAGGGACTGTGTGACAATGAAAGAGTTTTTCTTTTTCTTTTCAAGGAGAAGAGTGAATTGGGGGGAGGGGGTGGGCAGAGAGAAAAGTGCAGCAATGAATGACTGGAAACCCTAAGTCTCTGTAAGCTTTCATTAATATTAATAAAAAATAATAATAAAAAGAAGCCAGGCCAAGAGGCCATAGTGTCACGAGAGTCCATTCATATGAAACAGCTGCGGAGCAAATTCGCAGGGGTTGACAACAGGCCAGTGGCTGCCTGCGGCATTACGTTATTTTTAGGGGTCACTGAGTCAACTCTGACTCCTAGCCAGCGAACAGCAGCTCGAAGCCTGCCCTGCTGTGTACCATCCTCATCCTCTCTGCCATGTTCAAGCTCACTGTCGCAGTCACTGTGTCAAACCAACCCGCAGAGGGTCTTCCTCTCTCTTGCAGACCCTCCACTTTCCCAAGCACGTTGTCAGTGGCGGGGGGTGGGGGGAGGGGAGGAAAGGAGAGTGACTGTCTGTCACTGGACACGTTTCTTTGTAGAGTGATAACGATGTTGTGAAATTAGATGGTGGCGATGGTTGCACAATTCTGCGACTGACCTAAAACCCACTGAACTGTACAATGTAAAGGCGTGAACTGACGGCCATGTGCTCTGGTTTGCTGCTGAGTTCACTGGGACTCACAGCGACCCTAGAAGACACAGTAGAACAGCCGCAGAAAGTTCCTGAGGCTGTAAACCATTATGGAAACAGTTTGCCTCTTTTTCAAGGCATGGCTAGTGGTTTCAAACGGCAAACCTTTCCGTTAACTATTTTTGTTGTTGTATATATGTACCACTGACCCTCGGGTGAGTTTAATCACATGAGAGGAGATTGCCCATCCTTCTCCCTTGGAGCAGCTGGTGGCCTCGAACCGCGTGCCTTCGGCATTGCAGCTCAGCTTCTTGCCACTAGGCCACCAGAGCTCCCTTTATGCTATCTTTACGGGAGCCATTTTTCAAGACTCCTTGCAGAGCTAGGTTTGAACCGCTAACCTCTTGGTTAGCAGCTCAAAGTTTAACTGTTGCACCACCAGGGTTACTATATTATTTCATAATATGCAAGGTATCTCTCAGTTGAAAAAAAAAACTGGCAAAAGATTTCTTCTTGGCCGCACTACGCCCTCTTCTTACCAGCATGCCACGTGCACCTGGTCTGTGCTCTCCAGGCAGCCCTCAGCCTCCTTCCCCACCCCTCCACATCCCACCTCACCCCACCCCACCCCACCCCGCCATCCCGTCCAGCTGCCCCCTCACCAGATGGAATAGCTGTGGCAGAAGTCCAGTGCCGACACGATCTGGCGGAAGAACTTCCGGGCCTCCTTGGGGGTCAGTCTCCCCTTCTTTACCAAGTAGTCAAACAGCTCCCCTCCAGAGACGTGCTCTAGAACCAGATACCTGGGGGAGACAGAGGAGGCAGAGGGCTGGAAGGGGCCAAGTGGAGAAACAAAGGGGCTGGCCTCCCACTTGCCTCAGTCCCCCCTCCCCAGCTCACAACCTCAACTCCCAGTGTTTCCTGGAAGCTGAGAACACCAGTTCCCGCAAGGCCCTGGGAGGAAGAGCCTCCCACGTCAACCTTATGGGGTCGCGATTGTCCTCAGGCTGCCAAGCAATTCCACTAACATCTGGGAGCCTGAGACCTCAATTTAAGATCTATGAAAAATAAAGATCTGAACCTTTCACTGCCTGGCAAGCCAAGCTTCTAATTCTCTTCAGCGTCTGGGCTGAGGATAACACAATTCTCTTGTATTCTCAGGTGAAGATAGTTGCCAAAGCGATAAAAATCAACTGCCCTCTAGTTGACTTTGGTTCAAGCCCACCCATGTGTGTCAGAACAGCACTAAACTCCCCAGTTTTCGGAGGTTGTGGGCTGTCAGAACCAGAGGACTAGGTCTTTCTGCTGAGGGTAGATCTGAACCTCTGACTCCTCAAGTAGCTCCAAGGCTGCTCGGGGACTGCCATGTGCAGTGTCTGGTGAATCAACAGCTTCTGAGAGGTGAACAATACAATGGCCATAAGCCCCTGAGAGAGAAAGACTCCAGTTTCCACCAGCCTCTGTTATTGTTGTGGTTAAGTGCCCTCGAGTCATAGGCGACTCATAGCGACTCTCTGAATGAAACACCTGAACACTTGTATAACTTTCATCGTTTCCCAAAGTTCACAGGGTTTCCGGAGGCAAGCTATTTCGGAAATGGATGCCACTCCTGCTTCCAAGCTTGTTTTAATTGGGGAGCTCCACTAAACACATCTTAGCAATTTAATAACTTCATGACTAGCATTTACCAAAGTAACTTGTATTCAGCTTGAAAAGCAGGCCTATTGTTTTGCTGGGATGTTACATATATCCAGAAAGATAACCCAGAAACAATTAAAAAAAGAGAGGGAAAGGTTCTGAGATCCAAGCCAGAATGCTGGCCAAGGAGCTAAAAGAGGTACTATCTATAAAATAGTATGCTAATTAGGCAGAAAGAGACTGAGTAAACTCAGGTTCAGCACCATGGTAAAAAAACAGTAGGCATTTTAGAAAGACACCATTCCATCAGACTCTAGGTACCAAAGATTCTCATGACAACTTTTTTTGGTTCAATACTTTTCCTTCTCCTTTCCCTCATAAGACAAGGAATTTCATTAGCCCCTGAAAGTTCAAGACTACCCCTCAACCCAATTCTCATAAGACTCTCCCATTAGTGAAAACCTTGGTCAGTTTTTGGTTGGCAAAGGTTCAGCTAAAGGGCCCTCAGAAGAAAGTCCTGGTTATCTTCTGAAAAGTTCACAGACATTGAAAACCTTATGGAACACAGTTTTGTTGTGACATACGTATAAATACCATGCGTTGACAGAGTTGATTCTAAGTGAAGACATGATAACTACTCCCATTTTAACCACTGGGACACCAAGCCCCTAATTCCCAAAAAGCCTCTGGGATGAAGAAACTCTATGTCATCAATTCACCCCTAACCTCCATCAATTCTTGGACAACAACTGCAGCATCCACCAAGCTAAGCAATGTCCCTGAGGGTAAAAACTACAACTCCCATCAGCCCCTGGGAGATTAAAAATATTCCCAAGAGGAGCCTCTGGGAGACAACCTCCAGCTTCCCAAGGGATAGTGATGATGGCGACATAACATGAAAAATTTAAGCAGGCTCATTAAATTTTAAGTATGGAAAGTGTTGTACTAGCAAACATTTTGATGTGTTTACCTTTATCCTAACAAAGCAAAATAAAACCTCCCAAGTCCCAATAAGCCCTAGGAGGTCAAAATGCCCCCAATATCACATTAGCCTCTGGGACACAAAAGACTCAATTCCCATCAATTAACTGGATTCTCAAGACTCCAAATCCCATCAGGCACCAGGAGGTTAAAACTAATTCCCATCAGCCCCTGGGACAAAAAAGCTCAATGTCTGTGAGTTTCTGCAAGGCTGAGCTAACAATTGCCATCAAGTCATGGAAGATGGAGGGAAATCATCTATAAAGCACAATAATCATGATAGTACAATGGGAGTGGAGACCTGGGGGACAAAGTATTGTTATACCTAATGAACTCCCATCAGCACCTGGGATTACTTTCTGTCTCTGTAAAGTGCAGCACATTTGATGGGAGATGATATCAATGATCCCTGGGGACTGGGGGGGGGAGGGGGGCAAAAGGGCTGACCTCTCTCTCCTGATGGCCAGCCCAGCTGTCCCTTGGGTCCTCTGAGTCCAGACAAAGACCCATTCTCTGAGTCCGGACAGCTGGATCTCACCCCCATGCTTCCTGGAGTGATATACTCAGAATGCTTCAAAGCTTAGTGTTGGGGCGCTCTGAGTCATGTTGGAGAAAGACCTTAGCAACCAGGCCATATCTTTGGCCAGAACATCCAGATAGAATTCATGGGGATAGGAAGTGTCCCTTGCAGAGAAGATGGACAAGAGACTGGGGCTGGGATCAAAGGGGAAGGATGACCACCTGTTAGCTCACTCAGGTCTGGGTACCAAGGTCTAAGTAGGATCAAGGAGGAGTATGAGTGAACACTGGGGATACAGGGGTGCAGGAGGGAGGGACTTTGGCCTTCAGTGATTCAGCCAAGAAAGCTCCAGCTTCTCCCAGACCCCTTTAGAGCCTATTCCCTGACAGACCCGAGCTACCAGGGAGGAAGGATGGAGCAGGCTGGGTCTATAAATACCTACAAATATTTCTTGTTCTCGTAGACGTCATGGAGTTTGAGGACGTGTGGGTGTTCGATGAGCTTTAGGATGGCGATCTCACGCTCCACCTGGGCAAATGGGGGTGACACACAGGAGTGAAGGTCAGCATGGCCTCTCCCTCCTGCCCAGTCCCGAAGAATCCCCAGCACCCCGCAAGCACACACACCCACCTTCATCAGCACCGACTCGGACAACTTCTCTCGATTCACAATCTTGATGGCGACCTTCTGGCCCGTGATACAGTGGACCCCGAGTTTTACTAGCCCTGGGGAACGGATGGGACATAGGAGCTGTCATTCTCTGGGGCTTTTCTCTGACTTCCCTGGTGGGCTGAATCACCCCAACTTGAATTCCAAGAGGACCACCCAATGGCTGCATTGCCACAACACACAGTCCTTCCCTCCTGCTCCCAGTTCTGTTCCTCTTACCCTACGGCGTGTCCCCTCCTCTGAACGCCCCATCATTCTTGCCCTGATTCCCCGTCTCTAACGGTGACTCCGGCCATTGCATTCCTCTTGCTAGGTGTCAATCAGTCAGTTCTAACTCAAGGTTCTGCAGAGCAGAACGCAGCCTGGTCCTGCACCTTCTGACAACCGGAGCTCATTCTTGCAGCCAACAGAGCAGTCCATCTCTTTGAGGGGCTTCTTCTCCGCTGACCCTCTACTTCCCCAAGCCCGATGTTCTTCTGCAGGGACGGGCCCCTCCAGATAGCATGGCCAAAGCATAGAAGATGGGGTTCTTGCTCCTCAGGCAGGCCGGACTCCCCCCAGCATTTTGCTGAACTGCATTCTCGCCGTACTTACTCCAGGGCACATTTGTTCATTTTTCTGGCACTCCATGGTATTTTTTTTAAAATATTATTCATATTGACATTCTTCTCGAGTCCTGCTTAATCTCATCACCAGGCAGCTCTGTCCTCCGGCTGTCTCCTCCACGGCTGTGTCGCTCCCATCTGTCAGCTTCAAACTTCTCTTGCTCTTTAATGCATCTATTCCTTAAGTTCCCAAAACGCTTCAAGAGACACCTTGTCTCCCCACGGACAGAGCACATCCTTGCCTCTTCCTCATCCGCGCCCCACAGAGTCTCACATCCTCACCCCATCAGCCACCTCTTCTGGTCTTTCAACAGCCAGCAACCTCGAGGGGATGACCCCAAGATTCCAGATCCTCGGTGCATCCTGACCCCAATAATCACGACTACAAGACTCCAGTCCCCTCTTCTGCTAAGGATCCAGGAGTCCAGATCTGTGCTTCCTCCTCCCTCAGACCTGGAGTCCTCACCCCAGTCCCTCCTCCCTCAGACCTGGAGTCCTCACCCCCAGTCCCTCCTCCCTCAGACCCTGGAGTCCTCACCCCCAGTCC